ACCTCATGCCCAGACATATTATGCATATCACTTACTGGCAGTATGCCTTCACTGGCCTTTGAAAGGGTCATTTATATTATCATAATATATTAGTGTCTTCATTTACTCCACAACCAGGGTTGATTGTCCAGCAGCTACATTACATTATTGGTGTAAATCACTCATTTCTGTTATTGGATGACCTACTCAATAAAAGTGCAATGCACTAAACATATAATCAACAGCTACTATGGTGGAGAAAAAAAGAGAGAAAGAGGAGAGCCGCTAGTAGCTGAATTTTGGGGCTGAGGGGGTAGCTCCATCGAGTTTGTCACGGCAAAATCAGACCAACAAGATCTAAAAGCTGCTGAATTTGCTTCCATGGCAGGCTTTTTTTTTAAGAATTGCTGCTTCTGACATGGTAGCCAGGAGACTAAAGTTTTAGTGCACATACAGTAAATGGCTTCAGATGGCACCATCTTTGATTTAGCACAACCATTCGCTGTATTGCTGCCATATTTGACCAAACTCCCCACCACAATCTTTCCCTTTAAATAGACTCCTAAGCCTTTACTGCCTAATGGTTTGCCAGCTGATATAACTTTATAAAAAAATAAAAAATATATAATCAAAAGGTTAACAACCATCAGTCTAATGACAATTTTATTCTTTGCATGAAAACACTAGTTTTCGTATTGTATGCTCCTGCAGAATTTGGGTGTTTTGGGCCGCTGTTCAATCTGTATTTCACACAAGACATACTCCGTAACACTCACAGAATATGTACGAGAGAAGTGGTGTTGTTGTTTTTTTCTTCCATTTAACATATTAATCATTAAATTTAATTAATTTTAAATGTAATTCATTTATCAAATTTAATAAATTTAGTGAATTATATTAATATATTTAAAGTAATTTTAAGTTATCTGGCATCCCCCCCATTAATTTAAATTTACCAATATTTTAAAAACAATTTCCTTTTTCTTTTTTAGTTTTTAAGCAAGAGACAAGAAAGAGTGAATCTCCTACCTCTCTGCCTGTTCTGTCCAGCCCTGAATCTCCTGTGTCTCTTCATTTAGGACAGAGGAGAACTGGTCTACTGACTGAGCCTGGTCTCTCCAAAGTTTTTTTCCCCCCTTTATTTCTGTCACCGGTTGGAGCTTGGCTTGCTTTGTTGGGGTCTAAAAGAAACTTAATATTCATAATATAATTGAATTGATGACACTGACACTATTGCATGAGAACAAAACTTGAACTGAATTGAGATGAATGACACTGTTGTGTTCTGCTTTATGGCTAGATTAAATTTGTTTATAATTCATGAATTTTTCAACATTGACACTTTTTGAACCGAAATGAATCAAAACTGAACTTACCCAGGCTTAATAATGACACTACTGTCTTCTGTAGAGCTGCTTTCAGTAGAGCAATTTCTGAATTCAACTCTTCATAATGATTGAACTTTACACAGTTATTGAACTGAACTGAACAAACACTGAGCTGACTGAAGCTGAATAATGACACTAATATATGTGACCCTGGAGCACAAAAGCAGCCATAAGTAGCACACGTATATTTGTAGCAATAGTCAAAAATACATTGTACTGTATGGGTCAAAATTATCGATTTTTCTTTTATGCCAAAAATCATTCCTTTTGATATTGTGGTAACAGATTGGACACTTTATAAAATAACTCTTGGTGTAAGAACTTTTTAGATTAAAATATTTTCTTAGAGAGAACACATAGACTTTTCAGTTCTTCAGATCTTAACAGTGAGGGAAAGTTACATCATTTCCTGTATCTTACATATTGTGGGAGATAATTCCACTAATTTAAAGGCAAAGTATGGTACGGTAACAGAGTTGACGCAAGATTTACGTAAAAAATATAACCATTTGAAAAAAGCAGAAAAAAAATAATGACTTCGGACACCAAATGTACCTGCAATTATAGAATCACTCATGTATAAATCTCAATTTCGAAAAATTGACACTTAAGACTGGTTTTGTGGTCCAGGGTCACATATTGTCCTGGTGAAGCTGTTTTACAGCAGAATTTGGAAGCAAGTTTAGAACATTTATTTTTACTTTCCTGTTTAATACTGAAGATGCTTCTCTGTTGTACAAAGTGCTATAAAAATAAAGGTGGCTTGACTTGAAGCTTATGTTTTTTTCTACAAGGTTTGCATTTTCACCAAAATAATTTGAGAAAAGCAGAGATTTTTCAGTCTCTGATGTTGCACCTCCCTTACGTCCCCTTCTCTAAGTTTTGCAAGATGAATTATTTTGTCCAAAACATTTATACTTATGTTTATGTCAAGCTCAAGCTTCTGCTTCGGACCAGCAGCGAGTTGAACATTAATCTGGATCTGTCTACGAGGGAAGGTGATTGCAACCGCTCCATCATCTGGCGTTCATCTGCGGGGGCTTACTCCTGGAATGTACCCATTCTACCGAGCTCGTGGGATCGACGGCCTCAACATCACTCGCCTCGCCTCCACCGTCGCGGCGTTTCTATACATCATCTTCGCCCGCTGCGTAGAGCAACGCAGCCGTTTGAAGACTCGTTGCATGCAGATAAAGATGGCGTTGGTCAACGCGAGGTCTGTGATAAGAATAAGAAGCCTCTAACAGAAGCCTTTGATTTAGTGCAGCTTATTAAAGGACCTACACATATACATGGACACACTCTCAATCTTATAATGTCTCATAGGTTCTTTATGGGTGATATTGAGATATGCGACCACAGCTTTTATGATCACAATTACTGCTCTCCTTCATCTGAGCTCAGTCCTGATGAACTGCTATATCGTTTTAATTCAGTCTGCACTATAATTTTGGATTCTGTGATTCTATGAGGACTAAACATCACAAGTTAACTCCTGAGCCATGGTTGAATAATACCACTCGGACATTGAGACAGGCTTGTAGAAGAGCCGAAAGGACAAACTACAGATTTCTTATGAAATGTTAAAGGATTCTCTTATTAAGCATCAGAAGGCGGTGAGAGTGGCCAAATCAGAATATTTTTCGACTCTCAGACAAAAATCATAATGATCCTAGAACCCTTTTTAATACCATTAATGCTGTGTTAAACCCTGCTGTCTGTACAGAGTCAGTAGCTATGTGTGAGCGATTCTGACAGTTTTTTATTAAGATATATGAGATCAGACATACCATCAAATCGGTTGCTGGTGATCCTGCAGGCCATTTAAAATATACAGGTGTCTTTAGTCAGTTTACACCTATTTCGCTTTCTTTTTTAAATGACATTGTTAATCAACTCAAACCAACTGGTTCACCCTTAGTTATAATTCCCTCACGGTTATTTAAACGAGTGTTCAATGTAATGGGTCTGACACTTTTAAATTTGATTAATAAATGCCTTGAGTTAGGAGTTGTTCCTGACTATTTAAAACATGCCTCGGTACAACCCAGACTTAAGTGGCCTAATTTAGATTGCTCTGATTTATCAAATTTTAGACCCATTTCTAATCTTCCATTTTTAGCAAAAATGATAGAGAAAGTAGTTTTTCATCAACTCAAAAGTTTCTTGATCGATTACAACATTTTTGATGCGTTCCAATCAGGCTTTAGAAAATTTCACTACACTCTCAAAAAGGGTGTGTTAATTAATAACACATTTTTTGTGTTATGGCTATTTTAACACATTTTGTGTAATTTTAAGTTGATCATGTGTAAAAAGAAAAAGAAAGAGAGAGAGAGAAACAACACAGTGTCCAACACAATATGTGTTAACTATCATCCAATCACACTGCTGCTACGTCACTCTGCGCCGCAAGAAGCAAGTTCGCGCCTCTTTACTTTCTTTCTTTTACTAATTTTGAAAGAGTAATCATGCTTTTATCACCATGAGGCTTGATTATTGTAACTCTCTTTATTTGGGGATCAATCAATCTTCCTTAAACCGCCTTCAGATGGTTCAAAGTGCAGCTGCCAGAGTCCTGACTGGAGCTCGAAAGCATGAACATATTACCCCTGTCCTTCCGTCGTTACATTGGTTACCTGTGCGCTACAGGATTAACTCTAAAATGCTCTTATTGGTTTTTAAGTCTTCAAATGGCTTAGCACCCTCAAACCTCTCCGATTTTTTGATAGACTACCAACCTGCAAGAGCACTTAGGTCTACCAATTTAAGGCTCTTAGTGGTTCCTAGAACCAGACTCGAGTCTAGGGGTGACCGAGCACTCGCCCTAGCCACCCCCAGAGTTTGGAATAATCTTACTACAGAAATCAGAACTGCCCCTACACTATCCATTTTAAATCTGTTAAAATAATTTTTATTTAATCTGGCTTACTCATGATTTGCATTTGCCTTATACTTTGAAGTTTTATTTATGACCTGGTCTTTGTTTTAATTTTGTTAATGGTTACTTTTGTACAGCATATTGGTCAACGGTAGCGGTTTAGTTGTGCTTTATAAAATTTAAATTATGTAACGGTACATTAACATAAGTATAATAGAAAATGCCGCATTATAGTTAACCGTTTCTAACTGGCCTAGTTTATTAAAGTCCTACCTAATAAGACAAAACAAGAACAAATTATACAGACCCTTCATATTTCTAGATTTCAAACACAAACCTGTTCATGTTTGGGGTGCATTGCTGCGCTTACAGTATCATGTACAGCCAGTATCAGCAGTGTGGAGTCAAGCAGGTTGAAAAACTGACCCAAGTTGCAGGGCAACTGGTTCAGTGGAATCAGAGTTCGGAAAATGCTTAATTTCTCCCATCACTGCGACAATTTATTATTTCTGTACAACAGTCATGCAATTGCAACGATTACAGAAGCAGAAAAGTTAAAGCACTAATATCTGACGTTGCGGTGTAACATTTGAGGTAGTGTTGTACAGCAAAACCTAAATGTAAACATTGGGTTTTGAATCAAAACATTCAGCTCTTCACGGAGCGGAGTATAAGTCAACTTCCAAAATGCAAACAAACAGTACTTCCTTAAGAACCATAGCCCCAGCTACTATAAACATATGCAGAAGCCAGACGGACAAAACTAAATCCTTTATTTTTAATCATACAGACAGAACTTAAATTTATATTGTTTCTCAAACAATGGTAAATCAATAAACAAATTTCTGTACCTCAAGTACTAACACCTGAAACAAAACATTTTTCCTTTAAACTGAATTCATGTCAGCACAGTATTTGTATACACGGAAAAAAAAGAAAAAAAAAAATTCTATTTATCAGCAACCTTAGTCGGACGGATACTGAACAGATCTCTGAGGTTTACTTCAGGATCAACATGGTGTGGGATTTTACGCTCATTAAAGAGGCCTGTCAGATCAGCTTCCAGTTTGGCCCTCGGAGAGATCTTCATGCGTAATGAAAAGAGAGAGCGAAGGTCTTCAACTAGAGGACGACGATTTCGCCCTTCCAAACGTTTCTGCCAACTCTTGCTGCTCCGCTTATGTGGGTGCTTAACACAAATAACCAGCGAATTAAAATGAAACCCAAGCGGTTTTTAAATATACAATCATCGATGGATTTAATAAAAATGTGGTAACTGATGAATCCTCACCTGAATGTCTCCTATCATGTGCTTTCCGCGCAACGTGAGACTCGAACCTCATTCCACATCCGCTTTTCAAGCATCTTAAACAGGAAAAACGTAGATATTTTCACTATTTTACTTTTAGTGGTCAAAGTTACAGAGCATTGTTATTAAAAACCCATTGTGCAGACGCACCTGAAACTGGATGTACCGTGCGTCGCCAGGTGCAGTTTTAACGCTCTCCGTTTCCTAAACGTCTTTGCGCACTTTGGCTCTTCACACTTGAGAAAAACAAGACTCCGTGTTGATTACAAGCATAAAGCGTGTCTACGCGAACAACAAAATTTGACCAGTAATTGTGTGGTGGGAAAGAAAATAAGAGTCCGACCTTGAAATATTCGCGTTTCTCGCTGTGAGCGTACCGCACGTGCCTCTTAAGTTTATCAGCGGTGAAGAAGCTCTTGCCACATGCAGCGGCACTGCACCTGCTCCACGGTAACCACAAACATTCACAGATGTAGAACTTTTTTTTAAACTGGCCACTTTTTCCTACCATGCCAGTTCATATTCCACAGCATCTCAATTAATACTATCCCATAACTAAACTTAAAACTACAGAGTGTTTAGCCAGGTAGGTCATTCAAGTGTATCTAAATAAGCCTATACAGGTCTCACTACAGGATGTACAAAAAAAAAAAAACTGGCCGTTTTTAACGACATTACTTCAAGTCTTTCACCCCGCTGTGTATTAAAGCATGTCGGCTCAGGTGCGATTTACGGGTGAAACTGCGTCCACATCCTGCTACAACACACTTGTGAGGTCGCTGAGGGAAACGGGGAAGAAAAAAAGTCTGATCAAGCGCAGAAAACAGAAATAAAGAGAACTTGATAAACGCGGTCTTTTATTTCAAGAAACAAATGCCTAGGACTCACCGCACCGGTATGCACGGTCTCGTGCTCCAGCAGACGCCACTGACGGACGAATGTCGCGCCACAATCAGTGTAAGCGCAATTAAACAGCTGCAGTCGCGGCACAGCGTCCTCTTTCTCAACCACCCGTGCGTTCATCATCTTCAAATGCGTATGCAACTATATCATTGCACTTTCAATGTGATTATTGTTACTTTGCCTCGTTCAATTCACATTAATAAATAAGAGAGTTTCTCGGCTTTATGAGCTATATACACTCCGGCCACCTGCAGATGGTTGCGCTAATGATGGTTGGTAATAAGATAAAGAGAGGTTATTCAGCGTAATGAGAACACAGCCGTGTTAAGAACAAACTGGTCTGAATAAGATTGAAAGGTCAATGTGCATTTTATCCAGTGCTTTATTGGAAAAAAAAAACCCCTACAAATTCGACTTTATATAGGGCCTACAGTTGTGCTCAAAATTATTACCTTGGTAAATATGATCAAAGAAGGCTATGAAAATAAATCTGTATCACTAATTCTGTTGATCTTTTATTTTTTAAAAATTACAAAAACATAACGTTTCACTAGAGAATTTAAAAAGGGGGGGAAATCTTATGAAATAGCTAAATGTTTTTCTCTAATACACATTGGCCACAATTAATCATACCCTTTTATTCAATACTTTTTGCAACCACCTGTTGCCGAGATAACAGCTCTGAATCTAAACCTATAATGCCTGAAGAGTTTGGAGAACATTTGACAAGAGATCAGACCATTCCTTCATCCAGAACCACTCCAGACCCTTCAGATTCCCAGATCATGTTGGTGCTTCTCCACTTCAGTTCACAACACTCATTTTCTTAAAAAGCTAATTTTTTAGTTTCATCTGACCGTAGAAGCCAGTATCGTGTGAATTTCCAGTTGTGTCTAGCAAATAAATATGCTGGAGTTTGTTTTTGAATGAGAGCATTTTCTTTTCTAGATTTTACTTAAAACACTCCCAAACAACATGTTGGTGCTGTTTGAGATATATATATCTCGAGGCTTTCTGACACCAAAACTCAACTATTTTCTGCCGTTTTCCAGCTGTGATCCTTGGAGAGTCTTTGGCCTCTCAAACTAATGCCGAGTTCACACTGCACGATTTTCAAACTCGTCGGATCGCCGTTGTTTTCACACTGCGTGACTATCTGGGGTAGCATTCAGTTGCTGCTGTGTTCACACTGCACGATGGATCGGCGACAGGGGGTTTCACACTGCATGACTTCACAATAGGAAGAAT